AATAGTCATGAAAGTAAACAGACAACCGTACAGGAATGGGAAAATTTTTGGCGGATACCGGTATGCATCCGATAAGGGAGCTGGGAGCAGGGAAAGACAACCAGGTGAGCCGGGCCCGAGGAGCGAAAGGCCGGGATTGCTCAAGGTCAGGAGTTCAAAACCAGCCTGAGCAAGAGCGAGACCCGTCTCTACTATAAATAGAAAAAAATTAATTGGCCAACTGATATATATAGAAAAAAATTAGCCGGGCATGGTGGCGCATGCCTGTAGTCCCAGCTACTCGGGAGGCTGAGGCAGAAGGATCGCTCGAGCCCAGGAGTTTGAGGTTGCTGTGAGCTAGGCTGACGCCACGGCACTCACTCTAGCCTGGGCAACAAAGCGAGACTCTGTCTCAAAAAAAAAAAAAAAAAAAACAAACTTACATAGATGTGGGTGGGGAAAAAAAGACATATATTTATTTCAAAATATCTAGATGGCTTTCTCTTATAATATAGTTATTAATCAATGGATACTAGACATATTTAGTACTCTGTGGGATGTCTGCAGTAACTTTTTGATACTGAAAAAGTATTCTCCTACTTGAAAAGGTGGGAAAACACTGAGATACAAAACTTACACTGCAGGAAAAGGTCTCCCATAATTGGAATGGCTGGAGGTGGACTCCTACTTTCCTAAGTGCAGGGGCTGTGTCTTATGAATATCTGTGTCCTTAGCACCTTGCCCAGAGTAAATGTTTAACATGTTTGTTGAGTAAAATAAATTAACAAAAGACAGTGAAAGAATATTCAAAGGAATTGAAATGTCCAGATGTGGAAAACCCAATAGGCACATTAGTTTTTATTAGGATCCCTATTTTTAAGAAATGGGGAATAAAAGCTGCTTAAGATAAGTAAAGTAGAACCTTCTGAGAAAGGCAAGGGTGTGATATAAATAATTCTTTAGGAAGAACACCAAGCTAAGTAATTACTCGCATTAATAGATGGAGCTAAACTGTGGTACATATAAGCTAAAATATTAGCTAATTCCAGAGCCATTTTTTTATCAAGCTTTTGAAACACATGGTAAGATTTACTTGGAATATATCTGCCTTTGTAATTCCATGCTGCTTAGGCTAATATTAAAATTAATTACATTTCCTGCACCTCCTCTGTTTGGTAGTGGTGATGCCTTGTGTTTTTATTGGACGGAAGATTAGAAATAATCCTCAAGTAACCAAAAGTTGTTTCAATTGCAGTTTAAAACCTGATTAAATTCATTTTTCAAGTGCTTACAAAGAATTTTATGGTCCCTTGATTTATTCACCTCATTTCTAGATTTTCTGAAATATAGAATGTCTTCTGGAGTGAAATTAGCTTACCTTTCCAAGAGCTCATATGCAACCCATCTCCATTTCTTCATCTTTTACTCGCTGATCAATCCCTTCTAATCTGGTTTTTGCTCTCTCTACTCCAACAACAACAATAAATTCTTCCTGAGATCATCCTTATTACCCCCAAATCATTAAATCAATGGGCATTTTTTAGGCCATTGCCTACTTGAGTTGGCCTTTCAACAGAATTTAGCCTTTTGACTGCCTCTCTTCAAATCAACTTTTTTTTTTCCCTTCTTGGGAAATTTGATATAATGATATAACAAATTCCTGGTTTCTCTTCTTACTGCTCTGGCAATTCTTTTGCAATCATCTGTGCACACCTATACTCCAGTAGCTAGCCATAAAATGCTAAAATTCCTCAAGTTTCTGTCTAGTCCTTCTTTCTTCTTACACTTCAACCTCATTCATCCTGAGATATGCAAATATCTCACAAATGTATGCTTCCTATTTAAACCTCACCTTTGAAATCCAGACTCATATGTAATTTCTCACTTGGCACATCCTCTTGAAAGTCTCAAAATAAAGAAGCTGAACCTTGTGCTCCCTTCCACACTATCAGTCACCTCCTAGGACTCCCTATTTCAATAAATTGAATCACCATCCAACCAGGTGAAAGAACTTGAAAGTCTATAGTCATTCTTGCCATTTCCTTCTATGTTGCCTCTATATCTAATAGAGGCGACTATATCAGACTGTCTGCAAGACGTGGCAGTGTTACCGACCCCACCACCATAATCCAAGCCCACACTAAAGTGACTTCTCCATTAGACCACTGTCATAGCCTCCTAATTGCTCTGCCTGCATTCACTCTTGTTAAATATAACTGTTAAGCAATGACCCACGGTTATCAATTCTAGGAGAGGACTCTAAACACTCTATTGTATGTTGGTATTGTAGTTGCCAAAGGAAACACGCTGGATGGAACAAGGCTTTACTTACATAGTGAAGAGACAGAGAAAGATCAGGCTCAGCAGTGAGCATCAGTCCCCAATGTCCTGCAGTTCTCCCTCGCCCCAAAAACCATCACAGGGCAATGGGCCACACATAGTACTCTCACGATGTAGAAGGACACTGTCCCCCCTCTCCGAGGACAGATATAGCAGTGGGGTTGACCAGGTACACATGACACATATACTTAACAAAGGAACAAACATCGGCCTTGCAACAGACAAAAATATTCCCACACAAAGTGATAAGCCCATCAACAGGCCATTATGGGCTCTTTATCTCTCAGTAAGAAAGTGTCCCAGACCCAATGTCTATCCTTACACGGACAACTGGGGGTCAAATGACTGCATGCACGAGAATGTCTTTCCCAACAACTCTGCCCTCTACTAACCTTTCATCCACACTCAGCCAAAGCAGTCTTTACCAAAGGAAAATCTGGTCATGCCACTGCCCTGCTTGAATCTCTTCAAGGGCTTTCCGTTGCTTTTAGGATAAATGTAAAACCCTTCAATCAAGGCTTGCAGGACCTGCCCTACTCCTCTCATACCACATCCCTTTCCATCTCTCTGCCGTAGATGAATTGTCTTTCTAAAGTTCTTTGTATTCACCACGTTTTGTCTATGGCAAATACTGTTTACATTGCTTGGAAATGCTTTCCTTCCCTTCTTACCTCTTTAATTGGAATGTAATCCTAAAAGCTTAGTCACCATTATTTTTTTTGTAGGAAGACATTCCTGTCCCACCAGAGGCAAATCCCCTATTATAAACACTCATGCCACTGTGTTATAAAAACTGCCACAGTAACAATTTATATTTGTCTGTGTAATTACTGAGTGTCTGTCTCTGTTGCTAAACTATAAATTTATTGGAGGCAGGAACCATATGTGGTTTTTCTCATAGTTGAATCCCCTGTAGCTGGCATATTGAGTGGAGCGTAATAAAATTACAAATATACATACACACACATAGACACATATGTATATATATGTATATATGTGTACACATATATAGCTACAAGAAGAGCATGTATGTGTATATCTATTCACTTTGTGTAGCTTTACATATATACACATATACATATATGCTATACTAAGAAAGACTCTATTTAAAGTCTAAAATGTGTTGTTCTAACACTTGAGCACACTCTTAACTTCTCAATGGATTATAAGTTTTTAGAGCAGGCAATATTTCTACACAATAAACCAACAAAGCCCAATCTTGAAATGGCAGAGATAATACGTTTTTCTGGGACGTATTAGAGTCAAAGAACGTATCAGAGTTAAAGGAGATACTACTATAAAGTGATAAAACTACTTTTTTATATATTACAAATATGCAGTGCTTTGAACACAGGGTTGAATAAATATCTGCTAAATATATAAACCTATACATTCTATTGTGATACATAGTTTAAAGCAACAGAAAAACTAAAATTCTATGGTGTAGACAGTTTCAGCTTAGCTCATATAATTTCCAGAAAAGATTTTGGGCAAAAATTTCAAAATTATAGGGAAATAGATTTGAAATGTTTTAAGAGGATGAGCTACCCAAAAAAGAAATGAGAAAAAGTTGCTTTAGGAGGTAAGGATTTTCACCAAAGATTTTCAAAAAGAGTCCTTACATGACTTGCCAAAGATATTACAAAGGAATGTGTGAGAGATTTCCATAATGTAGCTATTGTTCTACATAATTCCTTTTGAAAGGACCATGCCTAAAATATCGTGTCTCTCACCATGTTTTATGCAATGTCTTGCACTGGGCAGAAGCTCAGTGATTATTTGCTGATCAAATGAGTTTATTGCTTTCAGAACTTATGGCAATTCATTTGACTACTTTCCATGGTGGACCACATCTTCCCTTCAAGGGTGAATTTAATTTGTGGAAATAGCAAAAAGGCATTAGAAGTCAAATTTCATAAACAAGGTAGATAGACTAGGTAATAAATTTTGGCTTATACAAGATGTGAAATGAAAGTTAGCAAGATGATGTCTGTAATCATTCAGTACTGAACCTGGTACAGGGTAAATGCCCACACAACTATAGGTATTATTATTATAAGCTAGTCTATAGGAAAGTTCTCAAAAGCAATTAAATAATGCTAACACTGGAAGAATGTAATGTGTTGTGATTCTTTTGAAAGAAACAAATTCATTTAGATATGTGAAAATTCTGGGGTGGAACATTTGTTAAAATCAGTCTCAATACTTAGTTGTATATTAACATTATATCCCATTTTAACTACAGGAGTAACAACATGTATGATTTAGCTATTCACTTTTCCTACAAAGAACTGAATGCATAACCCTAAAGATTTATCCTAAATGAATTTATCATAAAGGTTTTATCATAAACCTTTATCCTAAAGGTTTATCCCAAATGAATTTTTCTCTCTTAAATACAGATTTAAAATCTTTTCCCACCTGGGCATTCCTCAGAGGCCCTTCAGTTGGTTAAGCTCTCCAGACACTGAGCTGATATTAGCAATCTAACTTTTCTTCCAAAACAGAAAATACAGAAAAGAAAAAAAAATTGGGACCTTCTCAAGGAAACAAAGACTGCAATGTATAATTCTAAAATTAGAGTGCTTTAAAAATGTGAAAGTGAAGCAAAACCTTAACCAAATGCTATTTCCAGAACAACTGAATTATTATACATTTTGTGAATGAGCAAAAGAAAATACCTGGGGTCTCTCAGCTAGTTTGACATTTTCTGTCAGAGCTGCTGGATATCTCTGCTGTTGAGGTTTCATTTTCTTCTGCACATACTTCCTCCTAATTTTAGTCTCGGAAACATATTCTACATCAGAGTCTGTCTCTTCTGTGTCTCTTTTTTGGCCTCTATGGCTGACTAAAAGCTCAAAGGATGAAAGAGTTTCATGCTTCAAGTCATCACCCGAAAGCCTGATATTTTGAGTTTTGATATTTTCCTTAAATAACAAAGAACACGATTTTATTTTTTGGTTGCCAGTTTATTTATAATTAATTCCCATTTCCCTCATGATCTTATTATATTAGGTAGTGTTTCTTACTACTAATAAAACTGTTTAAAAATCAAAAGCTTAGAAATTCCACTTTAGTAAACATATACTGCTATAATGCTCATTAAGAATATGATTCAGAAAAAGGAGCAAAGCTAGGCTGAGTCAAGACATGTGATTTTGAAATGCAGACATCCCCACATGGAGGACACACTATGCACCTAGACTTCCTCCCAAGAGAGGTTTACTTGCCTTTGGCTCCCTGCTGCAAACAAGGCTGGTCCCTGTCCCTACCCCCACCCCCCATCCTGCTTCTTGTCCCTTGCTGGCTGCTACTTTAACCAATGAAAGATATTTTTGCTAAGAGATTTAGAAAATGTGTGCCTGCTTGTTAGCTCCTATTCTCTTTTGTAAGAAACTAAAAGTAACTATTAGAAGGAGAGGAGTTTAGGGCAGAGCACAGAGGGAAACGCTGGTATTCCTAAGCATACCATTATCTACCACAGCCCTAATATCTACTGGTCAAGGGACCAGTACACCCCTCAGTGGTGCTGAGGGCTCAAAGAAACTGTCTAGTTCCCTTTTACCCTCACATAAGCCACCATGGTTTTGTAAAGTTATGTTATAGTTGAGTATACTAGTTTGTTCACAGCTAAGCAGAATCTAAAGGCATGAGATTATATTATTATTACATAGGCCTTATAAGAACATATTTACAATCTATTTTCTATGGCAAGTTACTTGCAGATGATTTTTTACTGCTCTCTATCCCAGAAGAATCCCTTTGCTTATCTTACTGTCAGACTCTGGTGATAAGTTATTATAAAATGGGTAAATCCTGAGCCTGGTTCTGCAATTCAGCTACGTAGTGATCTCAGGTAAATTACTATGAAAGGAGGGAGTTTGATTACAAGATTATATCAGCTCCCATTTATTACTGGGCTCATGGGTCCCTGATTCCTTAATATAGTAGCAGAAGGTACAAATAAAGAAAAAACAAACTAAAAAGACACTCTGGAAACAAGTGTTCCAATATTTAACGTGAATAGTAAAGAAATGCTAAAGATATAAAATATATTATGTACATCTATCAGAAATCTATTTATGTAAATAGAAATCTATTTATGTAAATGTTTATGAATCCCAACATCTGCCTATTGAGAAATATAATTAAAATTATAAAGAGTTCCATATTTGTGTGTGTGTATGTGACTGACATAACTGAGAAGGTAACTCTAAAGCAGGCGTCCTCAAACTAGGGCCTGAGGGCCACATGCAGGTGTTTGCGCCCATTTGTTTTTTTACTTCAAAATAAGATATGTGCAATGTACATAGGAATTTGTTCATAGTTTTTTTTAAACTATAGTCTGGCCCTCTAACAGTCTGAGGGACAGTGAACTGCCCCCTGTTTGAAAAGTTTGAGGACCCCTGCTCTAAAGGATAAAAAATGTTCCCCTCTAAATTTTAAATTCTAGATAATAACAGACATTTGAGAAATATCATGTAATATGACATTTAGCAAACACAAGAAACAATGTAAGAAATATACATACAACATATTATTAAGCAAATATACATCCACAGACTGAAAATCAATCTGTTTCTTCATATTATGTAATATATATATGCTATATATATATATATATATATATATACACACACACACATAGAAAATATTAGAAAGAAATACATTAAAATTTTTAAAATGGCCATTGTGTGCAGGCAGTAAGGTAATGGGTAATTTAAATATTTTTATATTTTATTTTCTGTGTTCCCTAATAAACATGTATCACTCTAGTAAGAAAAAAATGACAGTTAAAATCTATTAGTGCTTCCCTTTCTGATCCTCATAAACCATGATGACATTTGGCCCTTGATAAGGCTTATTCTTTACATGAAAGTGTGATACAAATGGCTCAAACCTACATTAATTACTCACCTTAGGTGCTGAAGGTAGCCTGGTGGATGTGAATTCAGTGATTCTATCCATTGGTATAAATTGAGGCTTTTATAGGAAAACAAATGATTAACACAAATTTTAATAAAAAATAACTTCCAATTGGCAGATTACAATAATTCAGTATTCTTCATTTCTTAAAGAAGTGTCAAGATAGCACATCCTCACCAATAGTTTTTTAAGGAATCCATTTAAGTTTAGATATACTGCAATGATGTTCTGATTAGGAGTGACTGGATAGTACAAGAGAATTCAATGGTCTGTTGAAGCATTACAGATCAAATGTCTTATGAGAAACTTAGGGTGCCACTGTGTCAAAGCTTATCCCATTCCCAGCCTCCACAGCCCTTGTCTCCCATCTCTCAAGACCCTGTGTTCCCCACCTGCAGGGCCAGGGTATGGAATGAACACTGACATTTAGCAGCAGCTCTCCCTCAGAGCTCTTGGTCTGAGCATCAGTGGATTCTTGAAGGTAAACTGGCCCTGTGTTCCTAATCCACTCAATTCCAAAATCACATCTACTATTCCTTGGGCTCACGTTCATGTTCCCATGCCTTTCTATAACTCATTTACTTGGACTGAAATGACCTTTCCAACCTCATCCATTTGTCAAATTCTATTCATCCTTCAAGTCTCAGTTCAAATATTATCCACCCTGAGAGCCTCCTCCAATTCTCTAAGGGAGAATTAATTGCTTTATCTTCTACACTCCTAAGGCATTATTTCTCTTAACATGTTTATAGAGCTAATACATTATCTACATGGTACAACATACATTTTAAAAGTATATTTTTAGAAAATTGTATTAAAAAGAAGTCTCTTTACTACTTCATTCTTTATATGACCACTTCATATTCCAATAACATGTAACTACTGCTACTACTTTTGTATTTATCTTTCCAGAGATTTATTTATATATCATATATGAGCATATATACGTATGGTGACTTGCTCTGTATAAAAATTTACCCCACTTTTTATGATAGGGAAAATGGTAGTACATTATACATACAGTCTGCATCCTGCTTTTTCATTTAAGGATATATCCTAGAGATCTTCCTCTCTTACAACATAAAGAACTTCTTTATTCCCTTTTGCAGCTGCATTATATTCCAATGTATTGTTGTACAAAAATTTATTTAACCAGACCTGCTGACAGACATTTAGATCTTCTCAATCTTTTATTGTACAAATAATTTTGCAGTAACCAACCTTGTAAATAGGTAATTTCACATTTGGGTGAATATGTCTATATAATCAATTTGTCAAACTGAAATTTCTAGATCAAAAGGTATAAGCATTTATAATTTCAATAGACACTGCTAAATTTTCTCCTCCAGGCTTTTTGGTGGCCCAGCATATAGTCATTATTCCAATATTCCAATAGTACTTGAAAAAAGTACATTCTCTATTTTCAGAGTACAGAGTTTGATACATGTCAATTATATATAATTATTATTATTGATTGTTTAGGTATTCCTAGGTTGAGAGAAAATTAAACTTTCCTGTAACTAGTATGATTGTCTCTTTTTCATGTATCACTTATAGGTTTTGCTTTATGGACCTTGACACTACATTAACCGATGTGAAATATTTGTAATTAATGGTGTTCATTCTGAATGAAGCTTTTAGCCTAATGAAGTGCCCTTCTTTGTACTGTCTAATGTTTTTCCCTTTGGATTTCACCTTGTCTGATATTGGGCTAGGACTCTATTTTCTTTGTGTGTATTTGTCTAAAATAAAATGACATTTTCAACCTTTCTGAATTACCATTTTAGATGGGTGTCTTGTAGACAGCACAGGCTGGGTCTTTGTTTTCTGATAAAACCCGAGATTCTTTATCCTTTATTAAGGTAAGCTCAACTCATTTATATTTATTGACTTCATATATATGTTTGGTATTAGTTAAGTTATATTATTTTATCTTATAGTTTTATAATTTAAGTCTCTAACAATATATTCTATTTTCTTTTTTTCCTGGTAAACACCATATAATGACAACTTTATGTAATATTCTTAGTTTATCTTTAGACAGTATCTCTGTTTCTTACTCTGAATAGTGACAAAATTTGTGTATTTTCTCTTCCTCCTCTTCTTCTACTGTCTAATATTTATCAATAATATGACCCTTCACAGTGTTTACCTTAGTACTAAAAAGTATATGCTTAAATCCATAAATGGTATCTCTTTATCTACTATTACAGATGAGGCAAAAAATAAACTACCTTTCTCCTTCCACTACCTTTGACCTCCCCTTTTTGTTAATTGAATTAAACCCTGCCAAGGCATTTACATTCAGTTTGGTACCTGGTATACCAAATAAGTTTCAGTCTTATTTCTATAGTTAAATACGGTCAATGCTTACTTTCAGTCCTTTGCTGTGGAATTATCAGATATCTCTTACTGGCTAAAGTTTGATATCTAGTAGTTTCCTCATAAAGGGACCATGAGAATATTTCCTGAGTATTTTCCTATTTTCAAAACTGTTTGTTTGTGGGCTTTTTATTTGAAGAATAGTTCAGTAAATATAGAATTTTGGGTTTACTCTTCCTTTCCTTGAAGATCTCATAGTTCTTAATTCATTGTCATCTGGAGTTGAATTTTTTGTAGAAAATTTTGAGGCCAAACTGAATTGTTTTTTCTCTATACATGACCTGATCTTTATGCCTGCTGGTCAAGGGAATCTACATTTTCTTTACAGCTGAGTGAAGAAAAATATACTAAGATATATCTTACTGTTGACTATTCTGGAATAGTTTTCCCCTACCATGCAGCATACTATTTCAAATATGTAGTTTCAAGTTTTACCTTTTTCCTGAAAAGTATGCCTGATTTATATGTTTAAAAATGTATTCTTCCCATACTACAGGGCTATAGTCATTAAAACAGCTTAGTATTGGCACAAGAACAGGGACATTAACCAGTGGAACAGAACCAAGAACCCAGATATAAAACCATCCTCATATAGCCAACTAATCTTCCACAAAGCAGACAAAAACATACACTGGGGAAAAGAATCCTTATTCAATAAATGGTGCTAGGAAAACTGGATAGCCACTTGTAGAAGACTGAAACAGGACCCACACCTTTCACCTCTCACAAAAATCAACTCATGCTGGGTAACAGACTTGAACCTTAGGTGTGAAACTATTAGAATTCTAGAGGAAAACGTTGGAAATATTCTTCTAGACATTGGCCAAGGCAAAGAATTTATGAAGAAGACCCCAAAGGCAATCACAGCAGCAATGAAAATAAATAAATGGGACCTTATCAAATTAAAAAGCTTCTGCACAGCCAAAGAAACTGTCAAGAGAGCAAACAGGCAACCCACAGAATGGGAGAAAATTTTTACAACCTACATATCTGATAAAGGGCTGATAACTAGAATTTATTTAGAACTCAGGAAAATCAGCAAGGAAAAATCAAACAACCCTATCAAAAAATGGGCAAAGGACATGAACAGAAATTTTTCAAAAGAAGACAGAATAGTGGCCAATAAACATATGAAAAAATGCTCAACATCTCTAACCATCAGGGAAATGCAAATCAAAACTGCAATGAGATATCACTTAACTAAAGTGAGAATGGGCTTTATCAAAAAGTCCCCAAACAATAAATGTTGGCATGGATGTGGGGAGATGGGAACACTCCTACACTGCTGGTGGGACTGCAAACTAGTTCAACCTCTGTGGAAAGCAATATGGAGATACCTTAAAGCAATACAAGTAGATCTACCATTTGATCCAGCAATTCCACTACTGGGCATCTACCCAAAAGATCAAAAGTGGCTGTATGAAAAAGACACCTGCACTTGAATCTTTATAGCAGCACAATTCACAATTGCAAAGTTGTGGAAACAACCCAAGTGCCAATCAATTCATGAGTGTATTAATAAAATGTGGTATATGTATACCATGGAGTACTATTCAGCTTTAAGAAACAATGATGATATAGCACTTCTTGTATTTTCCTGGATAGAGCTGGAACCCATTCTTACTAAGTGAAGTATCTCAAGAATGGAAAAACAAGCACCACATGTACTCACCAGCAAATTGGTATTAATGTATCAACACCTAAGTGAACATATAGGAATAACATTTATCAGGTGTCGGGCAGGTGTGTGGGGGGAGATGGGGGTGGGTATATACAAATGCAATGAGTGAGATGTGCGACATTTGGGGGATGGTCATGCTTGAAGCTCTGACTCGAGGGGGGAGGGAGGCATGGGCAATATATGTAACCTTAACATTTGTACCCCCACAGTATGCTGAAATAAAAAATAAATAAAAATAAAATGTATTCTTCCATTACTGTTTTCTTTGGGTATTTCAATTGTACTGTCTAATGTTTTTCCCACACAGTTGGCATCCTGCTTTTTCACTTAAGGATATATTCTAGAGCTCTTTCTTTTTTGGTACATAAAGTACTAAAGTGCCTCTTTTTCCTACTTTTATTATCATTTTTTTGTGATTATAAGCAATTCTTTTCTAATTTCTATTCATTTGATTTTCACTTTTTATCCTCTATGTTAGGAATTGCAAACTTTTTCTGCAAAAGGCTAGATAATAAATAGTTTCAATTTTGCAGGCCCCATACGGTCTCTGTGTTTTTTCTTTGTCCTTTTATCATTTAAAAAATGTAAAAATCCTTTTCAGCTTCAGGGTCATGAATGAACAGGCCCTAGGTAACAGTGTGTGTGACCCCTGCTCTATATATCCACTATGCTTACCAAAGTGACAATTTGCCTTGCATTCTTTCCAACTGCATAATTTCATTTCTATTTTCTTCTTGAAATCTACCAAATCATGTTTTACTTCATTGTCCCCTACAGTCTCAGTATCTCTTCATGAATTCTTGTATAATATTTCTGTTTTGGAGTCTTCCTTCATTAAAAATGACTTTTTTCACTAAGTTTTAAAAAAATTATGTATAAATGTATATGTTTAATTTCCTTCTGATCTGTGTCAACATTTTTCTTTTTCCAATTTACAGCTATATTGAGATATAACTGACATACTAATGACTGTACAAAACTCAAATGTACAATT